GTTTAAAGATAAAATGATCGTTATACTATATACTATATATACTCTTTTAAATGGCAGTGACCCAAAAACTATTTAAGATATCGATTTAAAATTTTGGTATGTTATTTTTAAAGGTATAACCTATCGAAATATGGAAAAATTGAAAATTTGATTTTTTGAAAATTTCACACTAGTGACACAGCATAGAAGCCCCTTAAAACACAGCATAGAAATCTAGAAAATGTATCTCCTTCGGCAATTAAATTAATCTGTCCAAAAATCATCTATCCCCCGACCACACACCACTCGAACCTCTTCGTCTATCCATTATTTTGTGTTGGCATTTTTTGGCGTGTTAATTTGTCTCGATGGATTTCTTTTTTAGTCCATCGGGGTCCCTTGATCTCTTCAGTGTTCTCTCTTGTTCCCTCGGTGTCTCTGACTCTGAATGTTTCCTTCGTCGGCTCCGAAGAAAATTACAAGGCGCCGAGAAGTAATAAGTTCAACGGTGTGAGGTGTTCGACTTCTTTTATACCGAACACGCCCATTTCTGTCAGGCAATACATTTATATATAATATTCAGTCGGGGAAAAGGGAAAACTGGGGAAAAAATTGCAAACAGGACGAATGATAATTTGACACCAGAGGAGAGAGTACTCTAATAATGGAATATTTATTAAAAAACTAGCAAACCCGACGAATTCCGTTTCGCCACCAGATGGTTTCTTGAGAAAGATGAAGAAATTTTTTGTTTGTTTTATATTTGAAAAGGAAAAATTTGAGTATATTGCACAACAGTAATGAATTTATTTCGATTACAAAAATGAAGTGTTTTTTAGTTGAACTTCTCTAAGTAAATGAAAGTGAATCCGCAAAGTATCCGTTTCAATGAAGTGCTCTTTGGTAAATCACATTTTTTGTTTTTTGGTCTGACGTTAACACAAACAAAGCGGATGGTTTTCCAACTCGTGAACAGGCAACGTAAAACTGCCCATGTGAAAAACAATTATTTTCTAAATAATCAATTTCAAATTTATCCCGCAAACACTAAGCGATTGCCCTTGCGACTTGTTACTGCGAACGCAAGGCGAACTGGAAATAGCAATCGTTTGAAGTCAAACGGAAGACCATTCGGAATCATTGGTATGTCATAAAATCGCCAGCAACTTTTGATTGAATGGTGAAATTCAGTGCGTGTACATCATTATACTTTGCGGCAAGAATTGTTCGTTGACTTAACCAAGTATAATTCTGAAAATTCTCACTAATGTCATTACTCGAATTTTTAATTACGGTGCGTAAAGTTCCAGCAATTTGAATTAAGGCACGATGCCATGCACCACTAATTTTCTTAGCTATAAACCTCACGGAGCCCGAGACCTTTCCAACGAATGCAAAATTGTCGAAATCAGTTCGTGGGTTCTGAAGTTATTTCGTCAGGAAGGAAAACCCGACTTAATTTTATATATAGAAGATATCATTAATACTAAATTTATAATTTTGATCTCCACCAATCAAAAATATAAGCTGTTAAGTAAAATCACAATTTGCTTCACATATTAAATGGTATGAAAATTTACATTATCATCTCCCAAACTTCTTAACGTATCAAAATTAATAACAGCATAAAAACAAAACTTTTCAAAGCAAAAAACACCTATAATATTGTCTATTATTACGCCTTTTATTATAAATGATCTCAAATTGCCCTCGAGGCCCAAAACAACTTTATGGCGAAAACTTTTAATTTTTTTTTCGCTTTATTGCGAATCTAAAAATTCTCTACGTTGTATATAGACGAATAACATATTTCAAAATATTTTTTTTTTGCTTGCTCAACATGTTTTTTGCTGAAATTCATAAATTGCTAAAGGTGTGAACTACCACGCCTCTGCAATTAACGAACTTTCATTAAGAATAACGCATTCTGATGGGAGAAAAGAATTTAAAAAAAATTGAGAATAAGATGGTAAGAAGAGGAACAATGGATGTGGATTTGGGCACTGAGAGTTTTGGACACAAATTAGTATTTCAGAAGAGCAGTTAGTGTTTATATGGCTAGAACAAAGTTTATGTTTTTTGGAGTTGAATTTATTATGATTGGAATGAGACCAATTTTAGGAAAAGCATGTATATGTGTGTATGCGAAATTTGCAATGACTGGATTTGACCTTTCGTCGAGGTTTTCTCAAAGAACTTCAGAATAGATTTTAAAAAATTAAGAATTCGATGTCCCCCAAGGCTTTGGTCAATTTTGTGCGTCTCAGATAGGTTTTATATGGTCAGATATTTTTAATATATTTACAATATTGTTCCAACCCTTATTGTTCGTGTTCAAATCCGTCCTTTGCAAATTTATCATTAAAATAATCTCCTCTCGTCGTGTATCATTCATTGACCGGCCGGGCGAGGTGTAAAACGCTAATAACCCTACGGTCCGCCTGTCCGCCGGTTGCGCCGATTGCGCCTCTCGGCCGGTCTCGCGAATAGATGTAAAACGAGTAAAAGGAGTAAAAAAAAGTAATAATAAGAGTAAAAAAAGAAAAAGAAGCCCCAAAGAAGAAGTATCACGAGCAGAGAGTAAAAATACTAAAAATAAAGCGTTTGTGATAATGATACATAAACTGTTCTTGATGATCCGACGAGATCAAAGGGAACGCGACCGAACAAAAGCGCCGCTCGCATACGACGAGATTTATTTATTACGCTTTTGTTTTTAATAATATTGCGATATTTAAAATTTAATACTTGTGGTACTAGATGAAGCTAATGTTATGTAATTGACACTTGAAGGGCTCTTATTGGTGGCATAAGGATGCGTTTTATAAATGAAATGAATAATTGAAAAAAATATTCTATTCTATTATCCTATTTTTAGTTACGTGTTCATCCGCATAGAGCGCCACTGTCGCCTTCATCTGACAGTTTTAAGTTACCAATTTCAAGATGGCTGTGGGTTTTTGTACAAGATTATTAGGTTTATATGTGAATTTATTCTTGTACAGTTTGTATAATTCAAACAAAAAATTCAAATTGAGCTATAGATTACATGTTCACATGCGCTTTTTTTACAAAATTTTTTGTCTAACCTAATTGACAAGTTAAGTAATATTAGGTGAAACTAATTTTATGTAATTGACACTCGAAGGGCTTTAATTGGTATAAGGATGCGTTTTGTAAATGAAATTAGTAATTGATGATATTAATATTTTAAAATATATTATAATTATCCTTTTTATTAGTTACGTGTCCACCCGCATAGCGCGCCACTATCGCGTTCCTTTGACAATTTATGTTAACAATTTCAAGATGGCGACTTGTCAAAACAAATAAAAGTCCTGTTGTTAATTTTGTGCAAGATTTTTCGAGTTTTGTGTGAATTTATCCATGTGCAATTAGTTTGCTGATTATAAAAGAGGATTTTGCAGGTTTTTCTTCAGAATGAGCTATAAAGCGTAAGTTTTTATACAAATTTATTCATATTTTGACATTGAACAATTATTCCCTGCCAGGATTACAAGGAGCTATCCATTTTTTTTACACAAAATTTGTTAATATATGCTGTCTAAGTGTTAAAAATTATTAATATCGTTAGTACATTTGGATTTGTGCAATGAATTTTCATATTTTTTGCTTTTTTGTTAAATTTTGTTAACAAATTATAACCTAACCTTTTTGACATGGCCTTATGTCAAAATTAGTAAAAATCCTGTTGTTAATTTTGGACATGATTTATTAGGATTTTTTGTGAATTTATTCTTGTGCAGATAGTTTGTTCCGTATAAAAAAGATTTTTGTTCATTTTTCTTCAAAATAAGCCAAAAATCGTCAAATTAAATTATCAACAAATTTGTAACCTAACCTTCTTGACATGGCGTTAGGTCAAAAAATATAAAAGTCGTATTAATTTTTTGCCAGATTTTTTTAGTTTTTATGTTAATTTGTTGATTATGTGTTGTAAAATGTTAATAGTATTCATAAGTACTTTTGGTTTTGTACAAATAATAGAATTTAAATTATTAAAAATATTATAACCTAACCTTATTGACATTGAGTTTTGCCATAACAAGTCCTATTAATTCTTTGCCAGATTTTTTTAGTTTATTTGTTAATTTATCCTTGTGCATTTATTTTTTTGTGTATAAAACGCAGATTTGTTGTATTTTCTACAAAATGAGCCATAAATTGTAAGTTTATACATGTTTATTTTCAACAAAAATTATTGACTAACCTAATTGAAAGGTTTAGTAATTTTCATTAGTTTTTTTGAACAAAATTAGTTAAACCTGTTTTTCATGTGTTGAAAAATATCAATACCATCAATGCATTTGGTCTTGCACAAAGAATTGACATATTTTCATTATTTTAGTCACAAAATTATTAACAAATTTATAACCTAACTTTTTTGACATTGTGATATGTTAAAACAATTGAAAGTCATGTTCTTAAATTTGTGCAAGATTATTTGGTTTATATGAAAGGGGTATTCTAATATTGTCTAGGGTTTGTATGTGAATTTATTTTTGTGCAGTTAGTATAAAAGAGGATTTTATTAATTTTTCTTCAAAATGAGTCCTAAATTGAATATTTTTAATACAAATATATTTATATTTATTAGAGACTAACAGGTCTAATGGCAGTCATTAGTTTTTTACAAGAATTTGCTAAAATGTGCCTTTTGAGTTCGAACAATTAGCTTAGAAGAAAATAATACTAGGAGTTTCATATTATGATCAAGCTAAGCCTAAAAATCCATCAGTATATGATTTTTTTTAAGTATACTAATTTGATATTAATATGATAGGAATTTGTTAAATATTTATTTGATATCAATACGTTTCGGATAACATTCGAGCCTTCATTAAGTGGAAAATAAAGTTAGAGTAACTAACTAATACACAAAGATGTGAAAAAGTGCATCATCATGAAAAGATATAACAGAAACTTATTGCATATGTATATAAAATACCTTGTCTGGGATAAAAAAAATAATTATTCTATATATAATATCTTTCCCTTACCTGTCGAAGTCCGTAAGTCTACTGGAGTCCCTAAACCCCTTCGCAAAAGGGTTGCTGTCGATCTTCAGCTTGGTTATCAGTTGGTTCTGGTAGGCGGTCACCGCCGTGAATATGGTCTCGGGAAAGACGTACGTGTGGTGCTCCATCGCCTCCAGCTCTTGGGGATTCGTCGGCACGCACGTCGATTGCGTCGGCAGACGAACCAGGTGGATGCGGGGCTGGTACTTGTGCATTGAGTTGAGAACAATCTGTAAGGGAAGGAAAAATTAGAATTAGAAATAGATAAATTGTTTTTATTTATTTCTGTTGTCAAATATTATTCTGCCAAATTTTACCACATCTGGTAAATGTGGTGAAATCAGGAAAACCTTAAAATTGGTAATTTGAACTTGGGAGACATCTTTAATAGGTCATTATAGAATTTTGTTCTCCAAATCTGGTAAATGGAGTAAACTCAGGAAAACCTTAAACTTGGAATAATGAACCTCGGAAACATCTATAATATATCATTATGGGATTTGGAAATTCTTTTATGATATGATCCATATTTTAGAGTTTCGCCAAAAATCATATCAAATTGGGATCAACGTGGTACAAATTTTTTTATATATAAAAATGAATTGCAAAAATGTGTTGGTAAGCGCATAGCTCAACAACGGCTGGACCAATTTGGCCAATTATTTTTTTAAAATGTTCGTTGAGGTCCAAGGATGGTTCTCACGGCGAGAAAAAAAACGACTAATTGCCGGGAAAACCCTAAAAACAGCCCTTTTCTTTTTCTCATACAAACGTTTTCTAACTAAAAGGTGGGATCAATTTGAGCTGTATTGCTATCATGTAAAGTTCATATTAAATTACGTGCACTCACTGTATACTCCTTCTAAACGATTATGCAGATTTTAATAAATCTTTTGTGAAGTTAAATTAAGGAAATTTTCTAGGATGTATGTGATTATAAAGTACTGGGATGTATATGCAATATTGTAGAAATAAATGGAAAAAATTGCAAAAAACGACATGTCATTGTTTGCATTGAAAATAAATTAAAACTATCATTTGCCAAAAATTTCAATTTACTTATGAACTTAGACAATATTAAAATATGTATAATAAATATATGATTATGAATAAGAAATATGAAATGTTTACATTATTATTGTCAAAAAGCAGCTGAGATGTGCCAGAAAATAAATAATATAAAATACAGTATATGTATGGCAGATTGAATTATACACATATGAACAGGATTTGACAAATTAATTCACTTAAGATATAAAATTAAATATTAATCAGGGCCGGTCCTATCTTTAATGCGATGTGTGCGAAAAATACGAACGCACGCCTTAGGGGGCGCAAATACAAGATTCGGATATAAAATTTTCAATATAGTTTTTTTTTTTCAATATATAATTTCTTCGCATCTTTTACTAATCTTTACACAATATTTTTAAAATTCGTAAAAAATTCACTTTATAACAACAAATGGGAAAGTAAAGATAAATACATACAATTCGGCCCTCACGATATCGATTAGGAGAAGTTTAAGATGCAATTTTGGATATCTTAAATAATAAAAAATTAAATTAATTTAATCCAACATGAAGCACCAGAGTCATGTTATAGTTATGGTTATGTTATACCGTTTAAAATACTTCAATTTCCAATATAGTGTGGGAATTGAGACTCAACATTTTATTAAAAAACAAGTTCTGCATTTAACATCGCTCATATTATAAATGTATATGCATTTTGGTGTGAAGAGTAATTTAAAAAACGATTATTATTATTTTTAAGTAAGTAAATATTATATTAAAAAATTGTAGACATGGGTACAGGACAACGTCTGTCGGGTCATCTAGTGTATAAATAAAAATTTATTAATAAATGAACAATAAATGTGCTTCAATGATACACCTGTATATATATACATATATATTGTCCCTCCTCTCGTCCATTTCAAATAATGTCTAGTGTGATAAATTCCTCATGATAAGAGCAATCGACCAATAGGGCATCATGCTACTTCTCACTCTGTTCTTCTTCATATAAAACGACGACGTGTATTTACGCAGGCGCAAAAGTCGAGGGAAAAATTTGATATGCGTATTTACACGCAAGAGATGGCATATCACTAAAAAGGTTCTCAACGAGGAATATTCATAATAAGGAATATTCTTGGCGACATTGTAGAATGAGAACATTGGAGAATGAATTGATAGAACATTCGATTCCTATTGATAGGAAGATGTGCTGATTAGTTTTTGGCAAAGGCGGGTCCAGCCGTTACGGAGATACGGAGCAAAGAGTGCAGAAAATATAAATAGAGTTTTTATGAGAACGGAGTATCGGATTTGAATGATCTAAGAAAACATTCAATTTGTAATGATTGGGAGAAGAGGTGATTAGTTTTTGGCAAAGACAGGTTCCGCCATTTCGAAGATACAGAGCTAAATGTGCAAAAAATTGCAGTTTTTGAGTGAACTAAGAGTCCGATTTGAATGATCTGAAAAACTTTCTGCTAGCACTGACAAAACAATTGCTTTTGAGGATAAAAAATTATTACATCTTTTTTTATTTTCCATAAAATATTTTTGTAACTTTGGATCAAAAATTGAAAAAATTACCCAGGCTAAGCACCGTCTAAGCGCCACTTTGGTACAAATGTTTACCCAAGTGCGTCTAGACTCTTTATGTATTGGAGCACTTTTTCAATTTTGTGAAAACTATTAAAAAATGTGAAAATGCCGCCAAGCTAAGCACAGTATGAGTGAAAATGTCGCACAAAATTATTTGCAGATGCTTTTAGACTGGGAGCACTTTTTCAATTTTGTGTAAATTAGGCAACTATTTTTTTTGAAATTCAATTCGAAATGAAATGACGATTGTTAATGTTTTGGAGATAAATTGATTTATGATTTACATTTGATTTGCTCAGATAAAACAAGATAGCAAAAATAATGAAAGTTACAGTATTTGTAATAATATATTTCAATACGTTTAAAAGTTTTCGAATATTTCATTAAGGTACGTGAAGTTCCAACAATTTGCTTTAAGGCACGATGTCATACACCACTAGTCAACATCTAATTTTCAGATTTTTCTTGGTTGTGGAACAACTACGTTTTCTGTCTAAATTAATTTAGAAGTTGTTTTTATTTGATTGGACCCAAAAATATTATAGTCTTGTATTATATAAAATATAGTCTTGTATTATTGGTGGCAGCGGACATAAAGGAATTTATTTTAACCAGCTGTAGGCAATATTTGTCATAAATTTTAATTAATGATAATGATACTTTGTTTTGAGAAGGTCCTCATTTAGAGGACTTGCTGTTGGAGTTACATAGACATCAGGCGGGTCACCAAATAACACCAAATTAATGGTGACGGCTTTTGGCAGTCTATTGTCGTGATCTATGTCGTGTTTTTTGGCATTGTTTTTATTTGGTCAAAGTTAGAAAGTTATGCTCACTTCATTCATACCAAATATTTGATAAGACATTTGCCGGAGTAAAACATTAAAGATGCCAAATAAACTTGGATGATCTTCTAAAAAGTTTAGGCAAAAAGTATAAATATAAGATCTCCTTTTTAGATATATCTAATCCATTCTACTTGTTACTTCAATCGTTGATTTCCATCACTAATTGTGTTAACTTTTCATTCCTCATTCCTCATTGCTTGGCGTGTTTATTCAACCGTTTATGCCAACCGTTCTAAAGTGTTTTGTTCGCAACAATAACGCTCCTCGTAGTTATTTTCGTCAAATCAATGCTAACATAAATCTTAATTAAAGCTAATTGAGACGCGAAAACTATTATAGCTAACCGAGCTTGGAGAGGCACGTAGCTAATTGTGAAACACTGGGAAAGGAATTAGATGGATTGGTAAAAATTATTTGGAAATAATTTCAATCCACAAGATAAATGAAACATTACATATTGGATCTGCTTGTAGTTGACATCTTTTGCCTAAAAATGGTGAAACAGATTAGTTTTTCATATTTACTATAGTGTTGGTGAATTTTTTGTCGAGTGCTATTTAAAGCATTTTTCCTGTGGCTTCGTTAAGAAAGAAAGAAGTTGAAGAAGACGATGTCGGTTCGTCTAATTATGGGACGTGTTAATTGCTTCATTAAAATCACTCCATGCGTTTCTGCAAGTCGCGCGGTTGAAGGATCCAGAGAATTTAAAAAAGACCAGTGGTTGTTTTTGTTGTTTTTAAACAAAGTTTTGCAAAAATACCGGCTAAGATAATTGGTCAGAATTAGAGATGGGCTTATCATATCCGAAGCCGGATCGACTCCGATTTGACTCCACATCATGGTGGAGTTATATCCGCTTAACAACTCCACGACTCCGACAACTTTGAAAGCGAATTGCTCGACACAAATGTGTTCTATAGTGTGTTGTTTATGTATCTAAGGATTTGTCAAATCCCACTAATTATTTGAAATGAAAATTTATGAATAAATATCAATAAAATAATTTTTCTAAAGAAATCACAAATAAATGACAGGTTGTACAATTTTTTAGTCGACCAGATGACAAGAGTTGGCCAAAGTAAAAACGCAAAACTAGAGAATCAAATTCAATTTAATTATTTTCATTTGGTGAGAAAATAATGTATTTTTTAGATTAATTTCATATAAAAATTATGTAGTAAACTTCGTAATGAAAGCAAAACATTTATCATTAAATATTTTCACGAAATGATAATACTTCTGCAGAATCAATATTATATCAGTTAGTTCGAATAACATATTATTACTTTTACAAAATTATATAATTGTGTGAAAGTAATAATATAATACTAAATATTTTTTGCTTAAATACTATTGGTATTACTTTTTATAATTTTTTGGTATGCATATTCCTGATTGCCGTCATTCACCGCGTACTATTCAGTAAATTATACATTTGAGCTATTCACACTTGAACACAATTTCATTGTTCTGTATCTTTGAACTAATACTTTTGTGTTTTCTGGAAAATACACATTGGTATTATTTTGAGTTTTATACCTAAAAGGTCATAAAACTGCCTGTGAGACGAGAAAGCGACCGCTTCCTTCCCAAAGCAAAAACGCCAAAAACAGTAAAAGTCTGCACAAGTTAACAGATTTAATACCAGTTTAGGAAAGTCGGATATGACAAATTCTGTGAAACAACTCCACTCGGATTCACTCCGAGGGAGGAGTTGTGTCGGAGTGATAACTCCGGAGTGAGTTACCCATCTCTAGTCAGAATGGATTTTAAGGACACTAGTAGTGGATGCAACTGATTCGGTTGTACAAGTAGACGACTAACAGTCCAAAACTCAAAAACTCTATTTAGATCTATTATTATGTTTCATCTATCCCCTGTTCCCTTACCTGTCCGTTCTTGTCCAGTTCGTTGTTGGTCAGCTTGACTTTCTCGAAGGAGACGACCTGCTTCCTCAGCTGCTCCGCGCTGTAAGGAGAGTCCGGATGATGATAGAGTCTGGCAGGAGCAGGAGGATCTGCTTTGCCTGCAACCAGCCACGACGACCTGTGATAGGCGTACCTGTACCTCCTCAGGTCGGTCCCTACGACGTCCAGGAGGACAGCGTAGCGGACGGAGGAGGACTGAACTCCGCCGCCGCCACTGGTGCAGGAGGACGACGACGCCAGGGGCAGATCGGAGAAGGATACTCGAAGAGTCGGAAACATTCGCCTGAAATAAAGGAAATAAATGTTAGATAATTGTTATGAACTTATATACGTATAATGCTACGTATAATTTTTCCTGAATCTTAAATATGCTTCCGTTGTTTTTATTGCTGGGTATGTATATATTACAAATGTATGTATATATGTTAGGGTGGTCCTTAATATGGACATTTTTGAATTTCCTTGCTCCCAAGGGCTCAAATGGTTCCAAATTGACAAAAAACAATTCTCTGAAAGTTTTAGCTCTTGATATTATCTTTTAGATAGTGCGCAATTAATTCAATCAAACTTCGTATGGAAATAGCATGGAAAAAATATTGAAAATTAAAAAAAAAAAAATAGTTATAACTTAGCGACAAATGAATTAAAAGTGAAAATTCGTATCATTTTTTTTTAAATGTTTTTCATGCTATTTCCATACAAAACTTTGATTGAATTGCGCTCTATCTAAAAGTTAATATTAAGAGCTAAAACTTTCAGAGAATTGTTTTTTATCAATTTAGAACCATTGGGAGCAAGGAAATTCGAAAATGTCCATATTAAGTACCACCCTAATGTATATATATATATATATATATATATATATATATATATCTGATATATCTGTTTTACCTGGCGTTATATTTCTGAAGTTAATTTATGGTCGAAGGGGAATATTAAAAATACAATGTAAAAAGTGTGAGCGAACTTGATGCTCAACCTTCAAAAATATTTATAAAGTCAATACATTTATAAATACATTTATATATATATATATATATATATATATATATATATGTATTTATATATAAATGTGTTGATTTCTTCATGCTGAAATGTTTTGACGCTAATTGCTAATAAGTGAGCGTGAAGTCACACGATACAATATAATTTTCTCGAATATGTTTTATTAATATATTTTTCAATACATTTAATATATATTTAAACTGTTTATATTTTCTAAGGAAAAATTTACATTTTTGTTTGAAAATCTGATTTGCTTAATTTATGTTACAAGTCGTTCTGAAACGTTTGGCATCAACTTTGAACAAAGTATGTGTGTGGTTGCTAAAACACGATTTTTTGTCATTTTTTTCTGAAAACGTCTTGAGGAACGTCTTAAAATATTACAAGACTTTAAATTATTATTTTAAAGCATCCCATTTTATTTAACTCTGTTCTTGCCCTTGTTTTACTTCCAGAATTTTCTTCTATACTTTTGTGTCTTGTGCCACCATGTTCAGTTTTTTATATTTTCTCTTCTTATACAAATTGATCATCTTCTAGGCTTTCTATATTACTTTTCTTTTAACCTATTTTTTTCACATTTTTTAAATATGAATCTAATCCTGGTTTCTTCTGACAACAAAATCTCTTGGTGAATCTGCAATATTTTCTTATTGGTGACTTCCTTATTTTATCTCTCCTTTCTCCGACTTTGTTTTTGGTTCATGTCTCTGATCGAAATGAAAAGATAAATCATTGGTTTGAGCAAGTTGAGACAAACAGTTTTCTCATAAGTAGTTTTTTTTTAAATTTTTTATTCCATACACCATTTTGCTAATCGCTTTTTTTGGAAATAACATTTTTGTTTTGCAGAATATTTTTTCATTTTTATGTCTAGATTTAGTTGGCACGTCAGTACAGTCCTTCTTTGGCTTTCATTTTTCTCTTCTTCCTCAATTTGTCTTCTTATTTGACCATGTACTCTTTTTTAAATATGGGTAAAATGTGGTAGTTTTCCTCCAATTCTTTGCAATTTTATCGCATCATTTTATCTTTTTCTTAGAATACTGTAATAAAAAGGTTCTATATATCAGTAGATCGTTATCCTTTTCGCGCATTTTCCATAATGTCAAAAATTTTAGCCTAATTTATATTGTATAGATTGCTATAATAAATAAACAAAAATGTATTTTCCAGTTCCTCCTCTTGAAGTAGTTTATATACCATATTTTTTCTAGAGTCTATGTCTCTGATCCATACAGAGTAGGTATCCCATTGCAACATTTAACCAGTTTTTTGCTCAAAACTCAATTAGCTCCTATAAGTAGCATCCTATTTTCACAAATTTTGATTTGACGATTCCTTCTCTTAATTTTCATCTGTGTTTTTTATATTTCTTCTGCATCAGTCCTAATTCATATCATCTCGAGCAATTTATTTTAAATTGGGCATTCACCTCCACGAAATAAAATGAAATAAAATAAAATAAAATAATAAGTTTTTAATAAGCCGTTTATACATTTTAAAAGTCCATCAGTCAAATCGGATTAATTGCAAAACGTGTTTTGGACAAAATGAACAAACAGTAGCCGGAATTACATTTGGCAACTCGGAATAAAAGGGATAATACTTGTTTTGATATAAACGATTGAAAAAGAAATGTAAAACAAAAACGGGATTAAAATTTGTTCTCAAATGCGGTCCTGTATGTTATGAATTCATAAATACGTGCCTAGTTCCATTTCACGCTAATTAGATCGTTAATTATGACATAATTTTCTATTTTATGCATTTTTATTTCGTTTTGTGTGTCGGTGTCGGAAACACTCTTTTCCCTCGCACCAAAAAAAAAAAATAACATGGATTCAATGCGCATATGGCAGGATAATTATAATAATTATATGAATATATATATATATATATATATATATTATAATTTTATATAGAAATTAATAACTGCACACGAAAATCATATAATTATTATTAAACCGATTCACAAGTTACTTTATCGTACGGTTTTGTATTGTTTTAGTATATTTATTAAATAAATAAAGAAAATTACCAATCAGCGACAATGAACTATTACATTTAACAATTACAACTATTTATAATAATAAAAAATATTTAAAATACGATATTCATCGGTGCAAAGTAGTCCCAAGATTAACCAGCACGCCTTTTGTCGCCCAACCTTGATCAACGCCTCGTTTCAGGTTGAGATGCATTTTGGCGTACGTACGGTTGCGTACGGAACACGGGGTAATTTGTTATATAATATATATGACGAACTTTGATGTTATATTTAAAATTAATTTATACACTTCTTACATATAGGTTCTGTTTATGGATAATTTTTATTAAAATTTTATTTGTTTTGCAATGCCACGCTGGTTTTTATCAATAAAATAAATACTATCGGAAATAGCATCGTTACATTTACTATATAGGATATATGAAACGCATACATTTGTTATTATAAATATATTTTTATTATAATTCAGTAATTTTTATTAAATCATGTAATCACCGACGGCTTGTCCCGCAAACTGGAATGATGGATCACATCAGGTTGCAATATTTTTTAGGGTAAAAAAATAGAGGAAATTTTTTTTTGCAAATCTTTACTTTTCAAATCTCCTGAACATTTTGACCTACCTTAGACCATATGTATGTATGTGTGTGTATGTACATGCAGATACAAGTTTTCTTCCAAGTTTTTGAGAGCAAAAATTAATCAGCACGTCTTTCCATCAATAGTAATCGAATGTTTTTTAAATCATTCAAATTGATTGGATTAAGCTGTGCTCTCGAAAAATTATATCCGCACGTACACACACTCTCACACATACACACTAGGGTGGTCCTTAATATGGACATTTCGAATTTCCTTGCTCTCAAGGTCTCCAATTATTCCAAATTAATAAAAAACAATTCTCTGAAAGTTTTAGCTCTTAATATTGTCTTTTAGATAGAGCGCAATTCAAAGTTTTGTATGGAAATAGCATGGAATTTTTTTCAAAAATTTTAAAAATGTTTATAGATATAATTTAGCGAACAAATGAATGAGTTTTATACATAATTTGTCGCTAAGTTATACCTAAAATTTTTTTTTGATTTTCAATATTTTTTCCATCCTATTTCCATACGATGTTCTAAAAGTTAATATTAAGCTAAAACTTCAGAAAATTGTATTTTATCAATTTGGAACCTTTTGAGCCCTTGGGAGCAAGGAAATTCGAAAATGTCCATATTAAGGACCACCCTAATACACACATACATTTTTTCTAAGGTTAGCTAAAATGTTCAGAATACTTTGAAACGTAAAGATATAAGTAATATGCAAATATTACTTTATAACTACTCTAAGGAGAGTTAAAAATATTTTTTATGGTATACCTTAGTTTAGAAATCAGTTCTAAATGCTCGTATCAATTTTCTACTTACAACTTTTTTAGAAATATGTTACTATATTTAAATTTAAATTAAAAAAAATCTTGCTGCTGAAAATCGTGATTTTGTCTACTTATGATATTGCCACTCAAAATAAAAATCTTGAAGTACTAAAAACTTCCTAAAATATAAATTTTTCATCGTTTCCGAACGTGTTTAACGAAACGTGAAGCAATAAAGCCGTTTCCTAAATTATGAATTCTAAAATCCCATTAATTCCTTATTTTGGAATAAAATGCGTGAATAGACGAAAACATCCAGGGCCGCATTCGCATTAAATATCACACATTAAAAATTCCATTATAAATTCCTAACGGCTCAATTTACGAAAACGTGTGAATTAGTCGTCGTCGTTTTGCCAATTAATATTCAAATGTGTATTATTATTAAGGACTACCGTAACACTCGACTTTTGTATAATATAATATGATCGCGTGTTGATATTTTTGGAGAAATTTTTGAGAATAATGAGCAGATGTTTGGAAATCGTTACGAAAATATTTATGAGCTTGAAATGCATTAGTGACCTTCTCGTCGGGAATTGACCATCGGGATCAAACACTGAGGGTAATTTTAGACACAGAGGTAAATTTATATATATATATATATATATATATATATATATATATTTATATATATATATCTATATATATATAATATATATAATATATATATATATATATATATATATATATATCTATATATATATATATATTCGTGTGTATCCTTTATCCCTAGGTGGTTTTCCTAAACGCATGCGCCGGTGTCTACCAATCAATAATTCAAAACGACTACACCACTATAGTTTGCGAATCTCTGAGTCTGCTCGGATATATCTCAATTTATATA